AAGTCAGAAAAATGGGAAAATAATACAGGGAGATTGCACATGCGCGCCTGGGATGCCCCCCCGCCGGCTTCCCCCGAGGCTTTCAAACCCGCGGAGGGGCTCCGGCGGCGGGGCATCCGGCGTACAAGACGACCCCCGATTTTTGGGGGATGTTTTTTAACTTCAGAGGTCGTCTTGTACGCCGGAATATACGGTAGCAGTGAAAAGTGGTTAATGCTGCCAAATACATCTGATGGAACTGGTAGATAATCCCAATAGTTTAAAATGGAATATTAATCCAGGATAAATGGTAGTGGAGTACTTATTGCATCAAGGGATGTACACTAGCCTTGAAATCTTGTCAATTTATTAAGGTAAATGCTTCTAGTCATGTTGCACTTGCTGTTCAAAAGTCCCTGTGTAACAGTGTCAAACAGGTTATTTCCAAATCCTGAAATCATAAAGATCAATGTTTTGAGATGGAGCAAACCCACTATGCATTGGGATGCAATCCGCATCCTGTGAAAGGAACCATGGAGTTGGATGGAGAGATCAGTTGGCATACTATCATGCACAGGAAGGAAGTATACCAAATCTGTTGTGGCCAAATGGGAGTTTTAAGGATGACAGGGGCTTGTTTCCCCCTGTACCTTGTGGAGCACTTTGATGCATCCCATGTGACAATAAATACAGCTCACAGAGAGGCCCATCCCAGTACCGCTCTCCAGCAGAATTGAGGGCAGCAGGCATTTTGTGACATATTTATTTAAAAAAAAAAAAAAAAAAAGAAGAACAAAGACACACCCACACACACCAAACAACCCACACCCATTCTCTGGTGGGTAATCCCCAGCAGCTGAAAGTGAGTTGAAGGATTCGTGTATCCAATTCCCAGGGCTCGACAAACAATGCAATCTACTCGCCTGTGGCAAGTAGACTGCAACCCGGAAGAGTGCAGTTGAGCCCTGCCAATTCCCATATGTGAGAGCAGGAGATTCTTCCTTAATGAATTTGCAGCGGTGTACTGTTCTCAAGGGAGGTATGCAGCTGAAATGGTAATGTACTAAATGCACCAGCTCCATAATTTCACTGCCTTCGAGCATAAAGAGTGGAAACTTGCTACATCTTACTTGTAGATGTAAAACATGCAGATACTATAGTCCATCATGACACTGATGTTGGGCTATACAAGCAGTGGGAGGAAGTGCACTGTGGACCATTCGTAGGTTTAGGATATTGATTTGTAGGATTCGGTTAAGGATCATCTGCCCTGCATGCTATGATCGTGAAGGTACACCTCCCAACTGATTAGAGAGGTGTTGAGTGTTGGAATTATGGTTGGCACTAGGGATGTTAGATATTGTTTATTTTAATAATCGTGTAGCCATAATTTTTAGTGATTATACAATTACTAATCAGGGGTAGGGCCAGCAGCCAGTGCGCTCTTGGCCCTACTCCTGGGCAGCCCTCTGCCACCTTGTGCTGCTGCCTCTTCCTCTGAGGCAGCAGCAGCCCCTGTCCAGGGGCGGGGCCAAGCTCCCCACGGATAGAGGCTGCTCTGGCTCCCGCCTCCCCCCCCACCTTGTTGCCTCTGATAGAAGCTGCAAAGGGGGGGGTGGGGCTGCGCGTGCATGTTGTTAGGATTAAGCGATAAATCCTATTTTATGGGTTAATCCACTATATGCTAACATCCCTAGTTGGCACTGGTTAGAGGAAAGGAACCCCAACACAGAAACACTTGGGTTGTGTCCAACAGAATTCTAAGTCCTTGACTCTCATCAGCACAAATAAGAGCTTGTTGTGGTTGTTTGTGAAGGATATATACTGTATGGACCTGTGCCTAAAAACACTGCATGTATAACCATTAGAGCTTTACCAGAAAACTGGCCTCTGCTATGTGGTTGAATAGTTGGAGGTATATCCAGGGCAGAAATCTGAGAGCAAGCTTGTGCCTTGGATACAATATCCCTAAGGATAAAATCTGTGAGGCTCTGGCTTTTATAGTATCTATCTGGTACCAGTGGACTCCAGATGTTGTACTGCCATTAGACTTCTCTAGGTTCACAAGGCCTAGATTCATAAAAAGGTCAATTGTCACCTGGAGGGCACAGAGCATTGGTGTCGGATGTGGCCTTGAGAAGACTAAGTTGTGGGGTCATCTAAGTATGCCTTGTTTCCTTAGGTAGGCAACAACTACTTCAAGAACTCTGAAGAATACCTGAGGGGCCACTGATAGTCCAAAAGACAGTATCTTGCACTGATGAATTGGTCAGTGCCCATGATCAATCAGATGAACTGTCTATTGGCAATGCATCCTGTGATATGGAAATATGCCTCTGGGAGATCAATGGCCAGACCCTGTATTTTAGTACTGGGCTAATGGTGGAGAGGGTAACCTAAACTGCAGTGCTTCAAGATGGTTTTCAAGGTTCAGGATCTCGATTTCTTCTGGATCTGAAAATAATGGGCATAAAAACACTGTCCTCTATGTCGGGAAGGAACTGCTTCTGATTCCCAGCACAGCAGAGATTTATTTCTTCTTATACAATGGATTAATGAGAAGGATCCCTGAAGAGGGATTGAGGAGAGAGGATGGCAGGAAAGGATAGAAAAGAAAGAGATGGAATATCTTTCCCTGACAATCTTTAGAACCCACTTGTCCAAGGTGATTAAGCTCCATGATGGAAACAACAGTTGCCATTCTGATAGTATGTCAAAAATAGGTAGTATAACTAACAAGGGAAGGCTTTTTTGGGCCTCGACATCATCTTCAAAATAGTTGCGTGTCTGGAGTAGCCCCTTGAGGACTGGTCTGTCTGAATTTGGTAGGGGACTTCCACTGTTGGCGCTGAATATTATAGTGTCCCTGGAAGTGTACAGCAGTGGTCACGATTGCAGGGGAACATGATACTTTCTCAGGCATCTCTCCTTCTCTGGTGTGTAAATGCTGAGAGATCAGAGAGCAACTCGGGAGTAGGGATGTTAAAGGCTAATCGACTATCCGATAAGCATTTGCTTATCAGATAGTCTGCTGATTAGTCATTTCCTCACCCCCCTTGTTGCCTCTATGAGATAAAAGCAGAAGGGGGGGGCGGTACTTTAAAGCAGCAGCACCGCACAGCTGAGCCAGGGATCAGCTGTGAGGCACTGCCATTTTGAAACCCCAAGGTAGCATTTCAAAGGGGCCGCCGCTGCATAGCTGATCTGCCGCTCAACTGTGCAGCAGCACTGCCCCTTTAAAATGCCAAAGGGCCATGGACCCAGGGTCAGCTGGGGATTCCCCAGCTTATCCTTGGTTCTGGGGAAATGCCGCGCCAAGTGCTTGGAGTTTCAAAGAGGCAGCGCCGCACAGCTGAACCAGGGATCAGCTCTGCTGCAGCTGCCCCTTCCTCTGTGCACTTCAAAGGGGCAACCGTGGAGCCCAAGGACAGCTGGGGACTCCCCAGCTGATCCCAGGCTCTGCACAGCATTTCCCCAGCTGACCCTGGATTATGGGCATTGCCCCACTGACCCTGGGCTCCATGGCTTTGAAATGCACAAGAGCCCCTGCTGGGGACTCTTGTACATTCCAAAGGAGGAATGCAAAACTCCGCGTGCAGCCCGGAGTCAATAGGACTTTCCAAGGGCCTTTGGCTGTACACGGCGTTCCGAATTCCTCCTTTGGAATGTACAAGAGCCTCCGTTGGGGCTCTTGTACATTTCAAAGGAGGAATGCAGAAGTGCCTATTGACTAGTTGATGGAAATTTCACCGACTACTCGACTAGTCAATTAACCGCATTTTAACATCTCTACTCGGGAGTATAGGCAGTTATCGATACCCTTTGTGAATATTTTGGGTCCCTCAAAGAGCAAGTCTGCTGTGGTTTGTACTAGGAATGTGAAAAGGTAAACCTGTAGACCATTAACTGATGAGACTGGGCCCCATCTGTTAACCTTCATGGTTACATGCACCCCCCTGCACTGCTGCCGCTGATACAGAGGCAGCAGCTGCCAGGGGTCAGGCAGGAGCCAGCCTGCTCTTCTCCGAATGTAAACGTGTCACTGCTGAATTTTTCAGCAGTGACACGTTTACCTAGGGAAGATCATTTCTGGCCCCCCTGGTACCTGTCCTCCCCAGTTGATGCTGCAGACAGTCTGAAAACAACTTTAAAAAGTCTACTGAATTTGCATCAATTATCTTTCTAGAACAGAGATGAAGAATCTTTTTCATGGGAGGCGGGGGGCACACACACCAGTGAGAAAAAGCTCCCAACAAGGGGGGAGAGGGGAAAAGAAGTATAATAGCTCTCACTCCAGCCCCTGAGTGAGTGGGGCTGCCCCCAAGGTTCGGGACTGCCAGTGCTCTACTCCTCTCCTCTCAGAAGGGGAAGGGCACTGAAACTTGAAGAGGCCCAGATTGCAGGTCATAGGTTCTAGAGTATTTCTTTGCAACCACGAAAGCCAGAAACCATCTAAGCTTTTCAGAATAGTCTGGAATAAAGCCACTGAGATAGAAAATTTTCTATCAACTATTTAAAAAAAAATTAGTTTTAACATGATGGAATTGAGATATTTCTTGCTTTCTGCAGAAAACAGTTTTTTGCTCAAAGGTTTTGGTCTAAAACCAGTTATAGCACTTCACGAGAGCTGTAGCAAACTGCAACTTCTATTGAGGCTCTATTGCCTCATTTGGCTGCAATCTTATGAGTTTTTACTGAAAGCAGTTTCACAGAAAATAGAGTGATAAAAATGAAAATCTTACGTTTTCAGATTAAAAAATTCCAATTAATTTTCACAGCTGTTCTGATGCCTACATATCTTCCAGTAAAGTTAATAGAAGATGTATGGCTAAATCTCCTAGGTTGCGATACGCATTTACACCTGACATTTTGCAGAAACTCAATCTGATGTAAGGTTTTTGAGCTGTAATCAAATTGGATGGCGACAGATGTGTAGATTAACTAGTGTATTACATTATACGAACTCTTCATATTCAAGAGACAATCTTTTGTCTAGGTTAAGACTAAAGCTACCACTTTACCTCCACACTATTTGTTTCTCCATTTTCTGCAGGCAAATTGTCCTTTGTTTCTTCTTGGTTAATCTCCTCAATCTGTTTTCCTTTTGGTCCCTTTTTCCCCTTTGATTGAGTTTTCCTGTCTTGAGATTTATCCTACAATAAAGTAAATGTAGGAATTCAGATAACCTTTTAAAACAAGATGGTTCTTAATTTTCAATATTAAAAAAAGACCTAAAAAAACGATGTGCTCCATAGCCAATGAAAATTTGTTTTACAATATATAGAAACCATCTCCCTTCCAGAAGTAAGAGAACTTGGGTTTTGATTTCAGTCTGACCTATTTATAAGAAAGTCAATAGCAATTTCTCAGACGCCACAACCACCACATGTTTTTCTATGAGTGGCAAACTGTTTGAGAGTCCTAACACTGAGGAAAATACATGTTGGAAAAGAGAAACTTAAGGATGTTGGTAGAGTTGCACTAACCAACTTACTAAGTCTATGACTTGATCATGCTAATATTTTAACAAAAAATAATGCAAGCCCTTCTACGTCAGAAGCACCAAAACACATCAAGCTTTTGTCCTCCCCCCCTCCCCCTATATATATAAAAATAAATTTATTTTGGGACAACATAGTGATGCCATCACATCACAGCATCCACAGCCTGGGGGGAGGGGAAAAGGCATGGGCAGGTAATGCCTAGCTCCCAGCCCTGCCCCTTCTGCCCAAGACCCCACCACACACTGCCAGCCCAGCCACCAGGGGATGGGATGGGATGGGACGACAGAGCTGGGCATGGTGTGGCCGCTGTGGCACACACAGCTGGGGCTAGCTGCAGCCAGGGCGGATAAGGGGAGAGCTAGGGCTGGTGCGGCTGTGGCTGAGGGAGAGCTGGAGCAGTAATGGCTAGAGCCAGGATTGCTGTGGTCGTGGCCAGGGCGAGAAAGAGTCAGGGCTGGTGCAGCTGTGGCCCGGCCCTCACCAGTAGCCAGAGAGAGGGGGGTTGATGACCATAGTGAGCAGGGGGCGCAGCCTCCTAGTTGTAATTTAATAGCACAGTAAAATGTTTTCAAGAACACATTCCACAATCAGTGGAAGGAGGTTGTATATTTTTGCCCAAACTCGTATGATTAAGCCAGAGATTCTCTCTGACCAGATGGATTCTTTTATGTAAAAGTCAGTATAAGTTTCCCAACAAACTTTATCATTTAGTTGCAGTCTAAAGAATGCCTCAGCTGAGTTTCATAAAAGTAAAAATTTAATACTTTTGTCTAATATTAATTGTATTAATACCAATAACTATAAATGAACAACGGATTAAGACTTACTAGTGTTTTAGACGAGAGCAATAAGAAACCAATTAACAATACTGTATTAGTAAGAAAATAGGCTAAGGGGAATGCGCTACCTTCACTTAGCTAAAAATTCTATCTTTTAGATATGATCGAAAGAGCCCTTCTTCCTTAAAAAATGAGGTATACAGGGTTCTTTCGAAAGAACTGTGTCTAAACTGCCTCCCCCCACCCTCCCTTGAAAAAACTCTTCCGAAAATGGGATTGGAAGAAGATATGCAAATTCACTCAAAATTTGCATATCTTTTTGAAAGCCGTGGGCAGTCTAGACATGCCCCTGGAGTTGTATTGGATAAGTTCTGTTCTTATTGCATAATGCTGTTTATACAAGAAAATGGGTGTGAAATTTTGAAGTACAGGCAGTCCCCGAGTTATGCGGATCCGACTTACATCGGATCCACAGTTACAAACGGGGCCCTCCCTCTCCCTGGTCTCCAGCAGACCAGGGAGAGGAAACAAAGCGGCGGAACATGCGGGCAGTGCACACGCGTCTGGGCTGTCCGCTGCCCGCGTGCTCCGCGGCTTTGCTCTGCTTTGCTCCCCGTCCCCCTGGTCTGCAGACCAGGGGGACGGGGAGCAAAGCAGAGCAAAGCCGCGGAGCACGCGGGCAGCGGACAGCCCAGACGCGTGTGCACTGCCCGCATGTTCCGCCGCTTTGTTTCCTCTCCCTGGTCTGCTGGAGACCAGGGAGAGGGAGGGCCCCGTTTGTAACTGTGGATCCGATGTAAGTCGGATCCGCATAACTCGGGGACTGCCTGTACTTCAAAATTTCACACCCATTTTCTTGTATAAACAGCATTATGCAATAAGAACAGAACTTATCCAATACAACTCCAGGGGCATGTCTAGACTGCCCACGGCTTTCAAAAAGATATGCAAATTTTGAGTGAATTTGCATATCTTCTTCCAATCCCATTTTCGGAAGAGTTTTTTCAAGGGAGGGTGGGGGGAGGCAGTTTAGACACAGTTCTTTCGAAAGAACCCTGTATACCTCATTTTTTAAGGAAGAAGGGCTCTTTCGAAAAAAGGGATTTTTTGAAAGGACCACGTCTAGACCGGTTTTTTTTCTTTCAAAAAACACCCACCTTTTCCAAAAACGGGATTGGAAGAAAATATGCAAATTTGCACCAAATTTGCATATCTTCTTTTGAAAGCCGTGGGCAGTCTAAATGTGCCCTTGGTATTAACACACAAATACTATAAGTGAACAACAGCAGATCGATTTCTGGATGGAATAGCCATCGGAATCAACACATTTTTTGAGAATATTAGCAGAATTCAAGATGCACACATTTAGTTATTCACAGCTTTCCTACTTTTTCCATTTAAAGCATTCAGTATTATATAAAAATGTAAGAGACTTCTAATTCACCAAATCTTCATGTGTCTATTTCTAAAATCGAGGTCAAGAAATTAGAAAAAAAAATTAATTTGAAGATTTAAGGCAGATAACCCAAGTAAAACTGTCTGAATTCATTTGTATACTACAAGTCTACTGATTAGGTTTGTTATATACTATTATGTACTTGCATCACAAGTACATTTATAGAAAATAGTGTCAGAACAACACTTGTTTCACAACTGTAACAGCATTGCTATAACGTAAAATCTTTATTTTACATAGTCAAACTCAATTCAGCCAAGACTTGGTTCACTAGGAAAGTGGATATTTTCCCTAATTCACAATATGTCTGTGTACCAAAGTGTCTTCACAAACTTCATCAGTACAGCTGCAACAATATATATGTAGACATGCCCTGAATTAAGGCTGAATACAAGTTCAAAAATATTTTGTTAAGTCAAACCATACACTTCTATGAAGTCTTTTAAAATGCAAGTACATAGGCACTTTTCCCTTCAGTTAACATTAAATATTGCGGCATCCAAATGAAATCTGTCCTAGAGCCAGCCCCGTCCTCCAAACGGTAGATCTGTGCCATTCACAGGTGTCTCTCACTCACCTTCGCTGCTGCTGCTGCCGCCGTCTTTTTTGGCTTGGGTTCGGCTTTGGCGGGGGCAGGTTTCTGCAGAGAGAGGCAGGTTTAGTGCTCGCCCCTCACACCGCGCCTAGGAAGGGGGCAGCCGGGGGCGTCTATACTTACAGCAGACAAGCGCGCAGACCGCCTCTTGGGCTAGAGGGAGAGACAGAGACAGCGTGAGAGTGGGGCGTCGGGATCCAATCCCGGCCCATCCCAACCCCCCCGCGCGGGGAGCCGGGCCGGTACTTACCTCCTCCCGCGCCTCCCCTTCGGCCGCGTTCACCTGCGAACAAGCGAGCACAGAAGTGAAGGTTCACGCGTGCGCAAAGCCCGCGCGCAGACCGCCTCTTGGGCTAGAGGGAGAGACAGAGACAGCGTGAGAGTGGGGCGTCGGGATCCAATCCCGGCCCATCCCAACCCCCCCGCGCGGGGAGCCGGGCCGGTACTTACCTCCTCCCGCGCCTCCCCTTCGGCCGCGTTCACCTGCGAACAAGCGAGCACAGAAGTGAAGGTTCACGCGTGCGCAAAGCCCCAGTCCCTCAGCAACACCGCACCCACCCTCTCTTTCTCCAGGGGCGGTCTCGGCTCTGTGACGTCAGGACGCACACGCCC